CGGCGGGAGCAGGAGGGTTTTAGCCCGTGGGGGAGTTGGGGCGGGTCGTGGGGACGCGGCAGCCGAGCGCCCGGCTCCTCTCTTTTCTCCCTTCTCGGGGGCAGAGGTCGCGCAGGCTCCCTCTGAGGGCGTCAGTCTTCGCGGCTGAGCGGGCCCCGCTGCCCGTCCTCTCGACCCTGCGCTCTGCGTGCGTGAAGACCCGGGACGACCGGGTGCCCGGCTGCCTTTCCCCAGGCCAAGTCGCGCCTGGCCTCCGCGCAAGGGTCACGCCTCTCCTTTTCCCAGCGCTTGCCAACCTGCGCTTAACCGACAGGGAGCAGACGAGAGTCTCATTTAACAGGGTTTTGCTTGGTTTTTATGGTGTTCTTACGGGCACCTTCTAATTACAGCAAAAGGAACTAGTTTTCTGTGTCATGGTAGCGATGAGGTAGGTTTTATGAAAATGAGTTCATTTAGGCGAAAAAAGAAACCGACTTAAGGAGAACACGGAACAGACTGCAGTCACGTAACTGGTTCAGGTGTGGTAAAATCGCAGGTGGCAGCCGCAGGAGGCCATGCCCCACACAGGCCTGAGGGTAGGGGCTCACGTGCTTGCGCAGGCCCTAAGGGGGTGAGGGGGCAGGTACCACTTGCCATCTTGTTGCCTACTCTGGCTTGTGGGGCCTTACCCTTTATCCCCTGCTGCCCCAGGCCAAGCTGAAGTCCTTCTCAGCCAAGATCGTGCAGCTCCTGAAGGAGTGGACAGAAGCCTTCCCCTATGACTTCCAGGATGAGAAGGCCATGGCCGAACTGAAGGCCATCACGCACCGCGTCACCCAGTGCAATGAAGTGAGCGCTCTCTTGGCCCCTGACCAGGCATTGGGCGTGTGGGGGAATCTGCTTTCAGGAGGATGGAGTCTTCAGGGACAGCTCTGTATGTGATTCCCCTTCCCTATCACTCCCTTAAGAGGGCTGCTGGGTGGCTCTATTCCACCCACTCCCAGATGATAGCTCAGCTGGCCAGCAGTGAGTCAGACTCACCCTCTTCTAAGCATCCTTGTCCCTGGAGGAGGGGCCTACTGAAAAGTTTGTAAGAGTTTGCCTTTCTTGACTCCCAGCTCGCTTTTGGCATTTAGAATCAGGGAAACCCGAGAAGCCTGGACCAACCACACCCCCCACCATGGAAAAGTTCTCTGCATCTAGCAGCTCCTGTTCACCCAGAGGGCTCAGGAAGCCCAGGGAGAGCTTTCGGAGGGACCATGGACCCCAGGCTGCCCTCCCCAGAGGGCAGAGGCTCCTGGCCTTGAAGAAGCCCTTCCCAATACCTTGTTTCATTCTGTGGGCCCTGCCTACTGCAGTAAGGCAGTGGGAAGCAGCTCAGCTGGACATCTATGGGAAAGCCATGGTTTTCAGACCCAGAAGCTCAGCCCTGGACCTGCCCTCAGCCCTCCCCCCAGCAGGACAACCCACTGAGCTCACTCTCCCCAGCAGTCCTCAGAGGAGTCTACATTATACCCTGCTTTGTTCTTGAAGACTCAGGCTAATGGCAGATCTAGATAGGGGATGTGAGCTCAGATTGCTCAGGCACGTCACTGAAGGTGAGATGATTCTCCCCATAACAGTGGTGGCTGTGTGGCCAGCCCATTCCAGCACCCTCATTCCCTCCAACCTTCACAGGAGAATGGCACGGTGAAGAAGGCTATTGCCCAGATGACACAGAGCCTACTGCTGTCTCTGGCTGCCCGGAGTCAGCTCCAGGAACTGCGAGAGAAGCTCCGGCTGCCAGCTGTGGATAAAGGGCCTGTCCTGAAGGCAAAGCCACCTGCCACCCAGAAGGACATCCTGGGTGTGTGCTGCGACCCCCTGGTGTTGGCCCAGCAGCTGACTCACATCGAGTTGGTCAGTGTTGTCATGTGTTCCGCCCTGGGCAGGGAAGGGGTACATTCAACACTGCTTGTCCAAGGCTGCTCTTAACATGGCTGCAGGGCCCTGCTAGTCAGACTGGGTTGCAGAGGAAGCCAGCTTGCCAGCCCTGACCACTGTGCCTCAGGCTGGATATGTGTCCTTTCAAGCAGCAGGTATCTCTGTGCCTGGTGCTCGGGTCCACAGGAGCATAGCAGCACTGCATGGATGAGAGGGGCTGGGGCAGCCTCATCTTGCAGTGGGGACTGCAGTGGCCCTAGGATAGAGTTCTGGCCTAGGAGGAGGCAAGGGGCAGGGGCCTGAGTAGGCCCCTCAGTGTCCCCATACTCCTGTGCAGTTTTGTTCCCTCCCTTCCGGGGGGGAGGGCTGTCATTCTCCCGGTGTTGTCTCCCCCCTCCAGGACAGGGTCAGCAGCATTCACCCTGAAGACCTGATGCAGATCATCAGCCACATGGACTCCCTGGACAACCACAGGGTGAGTGGGCTGAGACCCATGGCACACTCTGGGTCTCTCAGCTGGTGCTGTCTGGCAGAACCTGAACTCCCATGCAGAGTGGATGTGGGTCCACCCAGCACACCCCAAGTGCCTCTGGAGTGTTGGGCCATGACCTGATGGATGTGGCACTGGTCCTCCTGGCGCCTGCTCCAGTAGGTCTCAGATGGCCACACAGGGCAATGTGTGCTGGGGGGCGGCGCAGGCTCAGCTTGGGGATGGGGAGCCAGCCTGGACTGACAGCCTCGCCCTGAAGTGGGTAGCCGGTGTGATCTGGGCTGCTGTGGGGCAGGCCAAGTCGCAGCTTTGAATACCAGAGCCAGCCATGGGGACTGAGCTGTCCAACCAGGGTCCTTCAGGCTCCCTGTGACCTGCTGTGTCCCCCCAGTGCCGAGGGGACTTGACCAAGACCTACAGCTTGGAGGCCTACGACAACTGGTTCAACTGCCTGAGCATGCTGGTGGCCACTGAAGTGTGCCGGGTAAGCGCCCATGGCAGACATGGTGGGTGGCCGCCTGTCTCCATACCCAAAGAGGCTTTGACTGCTGCCCCACCCAAAGTTAGGTAATGGAACTATAAAAGTATATGTGGAAGTCTCCATTGCCTGGGCCTTAGTGATACCTCCCACCCTTTCCCCCCTACCTACAATGATTCCTTAAGTGACCACAGACACTCTGTCCATGGAGTGTTTCCTCTGTGCCCAGCATCATTCTTCCTGCCTGTTCTAGGGCAGACGACACCTTCCTTTTTATGGCTGAGAAACCTGAGCACAGGTAGGGCACGTGTCCAGGTTAGGGTTGGGGTTAGGGTTAGGGTTAGGATTAGGGACAGGGACCACCATAGCCAGAAGCGAAGTCCCAAGGTCCTCCCTGCCCCTCTGCTCAGTGGCTCCAGCCCCTGTGGCCTCTGGTGGTGCCATACTTAGGCCGTCCTGTTGCCTTCCAGGTGGTGAAGAAGAAGCACCGGACCCGCATGTTAGAGTTCTTCATTGATGTGGCCCGGGAGTGCTTCAATATCGGGAACTTTAACTCCATGATGGCCATCATCTGTGAGTTCCCAGGTGCCTGGTGATGGGGGCTGCTGTTTGGCCTGCCTCCAGGCCCTGACCCCTGCCTGCTGTCCCCTGCAGCTGGCATGAACCTCAGTCCCGTGGCACGGCTGAAGAAAACGTGGTCCAAAGTCAAGACAGCCAAGTTCGATGTCTTGGAGGTAGGCACTCAAGCCCCTGCTATAGCCTTGAGCTGCACCTTCATTCCACATTGGCCTGAGGGGTCCCATCAGCAGAGGTGGGTGCTGCCCACCATGCTTGGCGTCCTCTCCCTCAACCTGCTGTGCTGGCTGAGTTCTTTGGCTACTTCAGGCAGACTGGACATCACCTGAGGCAAGTTCTGGAGAGTACTTTATGAGGAGTTTGGCAAAATGGAGCCTGTAAGTCCTAAGCTGAATGATGCTGACCAGCCTTTTCCTTGGTTGATGTTTCCTGGTCCTGAACCACATCTTTGTGGCCCAGAGGCAGGCAAATGAGTTCATCTGCAATCTCGTCCAGATGTATTTGATCACAGAATCCACTTTTTTCCAAAACACTTCTGTCTTATCTGGTCAGGTCTGAGAAGTGTTGGTATAAGGAGAGGAGCAAAGGAAAGTCTTTTTTTTTTTTTTTTTTGAGTTGGAGTCAATCCATCACCCAGGCTGGAGTGCAGTGGCACGCTCACGGTCACCCAGCATCGACCTGATGGGCTCCAGCAATCCTTCTGCCTCAGTCTTCCAAGTAGCTGGAACTACAGGTGTGTGCTACGCCTGGCTAATTTTTGATTTATTGTAGAGATGAGGTCTTGCCAAGTTGCCTAGGCAGGTCTCAAACCCATGGGCTCAGGCAATCCACTCGCCTTGGCCTCCCAAAGTGCTGGGATTACAGGCTGAGCCACTGAGCCCGGCCCAAAGGAAAGACTTGAAGGAAGGATGGTGAGACCTGGGAGTGGCAGGAAGGGCAGTGACACTTTACAGCTTTCCAGAGGACTCAGGACCCAAACCTGGAAGCTCTGGAGCTCAGCCAGGTACTTTTGGGCTTCCCCTTCCCTGCACTCACTCCAGGGCTGCCTGGGGGCAGGTACCTTCTTCATCTTCTGCCTTCGGCTCTGCAGAGGAGTGTCCTGAGCAGGTCTGGGGGGCATAGGCTCAGATACTCATCAGGTCCTCCCTGTGCTCACAGCACCACATGGACCCATCTAGCAACTTCTGCAACTACCGCACAGCCCTGCAGGGGGCCACGCAGAGGTCCCAGATGGCCAACAGCAGCCGTGAGAAAATCGTCATCCCTGTGTTCAACCTCTTTGTTAAGGACATCTACTTTCTGCACAAAATCCACACCAACCACCTGCCCAATGGGCACGTTAACTTCAAGGTGAGCTCAGCCCCCATTGTTCCAGCATGGGGTGGGACACATGGCACCGTGTCACTATAGCTGCCTGGCAGGCTGTGGCCTTGTGGCAGGGCCTGTGGGTTTCCTGAGCCCCGCCTGAGGTCTGGAAGGACCTTTAGGACTGAAAACACCAGGATGGGTCAGGGGTGCTATTTGACCTTGAAGTGTAAAGTGTACACCCTGCATTTCTAGGTGGATGAACTGGCCACAGAGCTTAGAGTCACAGGAAGTGTATTTACCCAGGACCCTACCAGAAAGAGAAGGAGCCATCTCTGGGAATTTGAGGGTCAGGAGGGATTTAGGCAAGAGACTTGAGGAGGTGGCAGAGAATCCCAGATGGAAGTGAAGAACCTGCCTCATGGGGCTAAGGGCACCTGGCTGAAGATAGGAGGGTAGGACAAAAATGACTGGGCAGGTGTAGGGGTACCAGGCTGCCAGATGCCCACCTCACGAAGGTAAGGGGTAGATGGGAGGTGTGGATCTATCCACAGGCCCCAGAAAGGGAGGACAGGACACTTTCTGGGTGGTGCTGCTAAGCTGGGTGTGGCCAGGTACCTGCCTCAGGCTGGAGTTGTTGGTGGGGCCCTCTTCAGGTTCCTGCTCAGGAAGACACAGACCCTGCTGTCAGCCTGATGACTTGGGCAGATGGCTGGACAGAGTGGCCTCAGGGGACCCTTGCTGGCTCTGATGCCACACAGGTTGCCACTACGACCGCGTGGTCAGGCATACAGGGCCACTGTCCCATCTCACTGGGACCAGTGAAGTGAGCAGCAGATGAGGCCAAACCTGTGTGTCCCCTGCACCAAGGGTTTGGAGCTTAAGGTGACAGATGAGTATCAGTTGGTCTTCTGCCCCTTCAGAAATTTTGGGAGATCTCCAGACAGATCCACGAATTCATGACATGGACGCAGGTAGAGTGTCCCTTCGAGAAGGACAAGAAGATTCAGAGTTACCTGCTCACGGCACCCATCTATAGCGAGGAAGGTGAGGGCCGCTTCCCCATGCGGCACGGCCCCCTCCCCACCTGACTCTCTGTCCAGGCCCTGTGCCCTTCAGGGCCAGCCATGGGGCTGGCCACTCCATGCCACACTGGGGCTGGCTCAGCTTGTGGGGTGAGTGTGCATGAGGTAGGTTGTGGGCAGGGGACCAAGGACAAGAGGATCAGGGTCCAGAGGTCACTCAAGAGGGCCAGATGGAGTCAGAGCAGGGGTGCTGCAGAATGAAGAACCTCCCAAGTCCCCGGCAGGCAGCCCCTAGAGCCCCATGAAGCAGAGACCTGTGTGCTGGCCAGAGGCCATTGTCCCTCTGTCCTGGGCCTGACTGCACCCCTGGACAAGGGTTCTGAGGGGCTTTCCCATCTCCAGCTCTCTTCATCGCCTCCTTTGAAAGTGAAGGTCCCGAGAACCACATGGAAAAGGACAGCTGGAAGACCCTCAGGTAGGAGAGCTCTGGGGCTGCCTGAGTGTGCAAGGAAGGGGGAGGACTAGGGGTGGGCATGGGGATCTGCCCCTCTGAAATGGGGCCCAGGCTACCTCCATGCCCCCGATGCAGGACTGCCAGGCACCAGGCCCTGGCTGGTGGGAGGCTGAGGCCTGGGTTTGGATCCAACCCCCGCCTTAGCAGGGTGGGGCCTTCCCAGGGCCTGAGTATGCCTGTTCCCTGTCCACCTTTAGGACCACCCTCCTTAACAGAGCCTGAGGTGGATGCAGCCTGCAGACGCTGGATGAAGCACATGCACGAACCGGGTTTAAATCTTGATTGTTATGGGTTGAGATGAGGAGGCCTCACTGGTTGGGGTCAATTTTGTATATAACTTTTATGAGAAAAAAATGGTAATTATTTCATGCATCAACCTTTGGCACTTACAAAGTTTTTTTGTTTATTTTAAATAACAGGGCAGGGCCCTGCTTTGGGGATGGGTAGGGGAAAGAGTATCATGGGAGATGGCATCCATGATAACATCTTATTCTAATGAAATGTAGATTTTTATTTTCTACTTTTGATTATTAACATCTTATGAAAAAAATATTTTAAAAAACCCAACCAAAACCAACGTGAGCCCTGCCTGCTCAAATGCCTTTCCAGCTAGTGTCTCTAATGTCGGGATTAGTGCCTTAGAGGGTACTGGGGTCCGGTCTTCCTGCTCCACTGTTCGAGCTGCAGTGAACCCTGCTCCAGCCATGGCCATGAGGCACCTGCCCTCAGGAGCTTGGGCTGTGAGGCTCCAGCAGGAGCATGGGGTGGCTGGGAGGTTGTGTCTGCACACTTCTGGAAATGAGCCTTTGAGTACGGGCTTTCCAAAGTTTACATTTTCATTTTCCTCTATCAGGGATTTGTGGGGTCAGGGTGGGGCAGGGGACACCTGGCAGCATATTTTCTGTGAGATTGTGTCTGGCAAATTGTTCTTCAACTGCATTTTAGAAAAGAGGAAATCTAAGATAAAGTAAGGGAGGGAGGTATAGAGTTGTCCATTTTCTGGGCTGTAACTGAAAGACACACTGAGCTGTGAGAAGAGGATACGGAGCCTACTCCAGGACGGTGACAGTTAGAGCTGGTCTTGAAACCATTGCAGAGGGAAGGGCAGCAGCTCCTAAACCAGTGTTCTAGTGGACTGCCCTCCTCCCGCTCTGGGTGGGAGGTGCCCCTAATTGGAACTGGAAACAGAAAACTTGGCCAGCCATCCATTCAGATAAAACTGCCCAACACTGGGAGGTCTTTTTCTACACCCAAGCTAGAGGAGCACACTCCATTTTCCACATCTGACTTCCTGGCATGAGCCCTGGGCCTTACAGACTGTGGCACAGGACAGCTCTCCCTCAGAAAGCCAGTGGTGGTTATCCACGCTGACCATCTCCCTCGCAGGACTCCCCACCCTCGTCCCTCTTCGCACACCTGGCTTCAGCAGGAGCCTCAGGTGATAGGGCAAGGATGGGCTAGGTCCTAACTCCCAAAGCTCCTGGAAGAGCCTGGAGACGGGCAGGCTGGGCCTGGGGAGGAAGCAGCCCTGGGTCCGCTGCAGACGCCACTGAGGCCCTGGGTGGAGTAAGAATAGTTACACTGTATTGTCACAGTGTGTTTGCACTTTTCTGACGTTCTAGCTAGTACAGATTGTATATTGATGGTACATATTGCTTTGTTTATGTCTTTGAGATAAAGGCTTAAAACTTGAGAATATATATTTGGAATATAGCGTTAGAACGTTTTCTGTACACGTGTTAAAGAGCCTTCACATCCACGTGCACTTCACGGGTGATCAGTTCTAGTACCTACTTGAAACAGTGTCTATGTCTGCTATTTTCCTTTCCCAATTTGATACATCCCTGAATTTGATGTTTTGATATTTGAGGTGAACTCTGAGTATAAAGCTGTACCATAATGCAGGATGTCAGTTTTGGTGTGACTGGACGTACTTGCATCAATAAAAGAACACGTCGCTGCCCTCTCTTGCCTGCTGTGTGTGTGTGTGTGGTGAAGGGGATAGCCCTGCTACTGGCAGTGGGCACGAGCTGCCTGGGCTGGGAAGGAGGATGAGGCTGTCGAGCCCACCATGGCCTTCCCAGGAAGGACCGGGCAAGGGACTTTCAACTGCAGTTGGCAACACATTCTGACAAAGAGCTTTCCACTGAATAATGCAAGACTAGAAAAAGCTGTACAGGAAGGAGAGGTCTTCTAGTCCTGATTTCCTCAGCGTGAACTCCAAAAAGGTATTACTAGCTGCTGTACTGCATGGCCACGTAAGTTTGGGACACCCAGTTAAACCAGACCATAAGGGCTCCTTTACTGCAGGGCTAGTCAGATGTCTCCTCCAGGACTGGGGAGGCTGGGGAGCCCCTGTGGACCTCTTCCTGCAGAACAGGCTGCAAAAACACAGGTCTAGAGGGGGCTGCATCTATTGTGATGAGTCATACAGGAGCACCAAAGAGAGGGATTTATTGAGGGGTACACAAGAGCTAGGGAACTAAAGAAATGAGGCATCAGAATGGGAATTATAACTCCCCCCTGCTCCTTCAGCCTGCCCACCCCCGATTTTGACAAGACTCAGACTGGGTGAGGTCCTTGACAGCTCTTGCAGAGCCTTACCCAGAGGTAACTCAGCTCATCTTTTCTAATGCGCTCAGTGTCCGTCATTTCCACAAGATCAGCGCTGCCTGACAGAAAACTTTCTAGGGTGAAAGAATGTCCTGTATCTGCACTGTCCATTATGGGACCCACTGACATGTGGGCTCTGAGCATTGAAATGTGGCCAGTATGACTGAGAAATTGGCTATGTTTAAATAGCTTGTGGCCACTATATTATGCACCATGGATGGTGCATAATAGATGCTCAGGTGTTTGTAGAGCAAAGGGGGACACTGGTGAAGATGCTTGAGCTTTGGGTGATGACACTACTTTGGGGGCTTTTAAATCCAATATCTTCCCTAATTTCTTGGTGAAGTTATTTTTGGAAGTGTCCACCTACTTCAGCTGAAGAAAGGCAGCACATAACTCGGTCTGTGCCCTGGTTATGAGCTTGAGCAGGGTGTGCCAGGCGAGCTCTCTGGACCTCTCTTTGCCCAAGGGCAGTGACTCCAAGGCAGGGGTTCTCAAATGTGGGTACCTGAGAACTTGTTTGAAATATATGTTCTTAGGCCCCACTTCACACCTGCTAAATCAGGAAGACAGGTGATTCCAGCTTGGGCTCGCAGCAGGTGGGTGAGGGTCTGTGTATGGGCTCCAGTCCCTTAGAGCCCACCACTCCCAGGGACCCCTCCTTAGGCATAGCCTAAGCACACCATGCTCCACCACGGTCACAACCCAGCTGCACACACCTAGGAAATGCTGGCTATTCTGTAGCAGCCTGAGGTCTTCCTCAGCGAGTGGCTCTGCCTCCTTGGGGCCATGCCTGTGGCAGGTCTGTCAGCATCTGGGGCTCTTTCTGTGAAGAAGCCACATTCACCATAGCTGTCCCATGACCAGCACAGAGTGCTGTTCCACACAGCCTGGTGGGATGGCTGAATGTCATCTTTCGCTTCAAATGTTCCAGAAACAAATCAATGTCAGAGCATCAGATGTGGTAGCATGATAAGCTAAGGATCTCTACTAAGTGATCAAGACTTCTATGACAAACATCACTTGTTACACACACCTACTACACTTGTGCATAAAACAGGCCACATGCTTCAGGGAGGCAAAACAAGGCCACAGTGTAAGAGCAGGGAATTGAGAGCTAATCTACCTGGATTTGAGTCCTAGTCTCCAGTTCCCAGCTAGAGATGCTTGGACAAGTTATTTACCTTATTTAGTCTTCATTTTTTCATGACTAAAACAAAAATTAAGATAATCTCTCTCATGAAGTTGCTGTAATGGTAGATGACACAGAGTGTGGTACCCGCCTAGTCATTGGCACAGTGTTCACCATGGACTGGTTCACTCAGGCCGTGGTGCCCTGATAAAGTTGAGTAGCACTTCTGCCAAAAGGCAGCAGTTTTCAGGAAAAGATAAGCCCCCTCAATGGAACACCTGAAGTCCTGGCCAATACAAAGATATGCTAAAATCACCAAAGAGTCACTTAAGTGTTACATTCAACCAGTATATAAACATAAATGGGAAAAAAACTTCCCACAAATTTGGGATTCAAAACTACTTTCTAAAGGTAAAACCTACAATCCACCTACAGGCCAGTTTAGATCATGTTAACACAATTTCTATCTTTATTCCCAAAAAGGAAGTCATAATACTGTGAAGAAGGTGAGGGGCTATCAAATACCCCAACAGCACCAGGACACTCAGGTACAAGTTTTCAGCAAGAATGCTAAGTTGTTCAGCAACAGTGCTGTGAGGCGCATAAGAAAGTAAATTATGCACCTGTCCATTTCTGGCAGCATAAGAGACTAAATGCTCACCTGCTGGAAACCAAGAAAGTTGTGCAAAATTTTCAAATTTATCAGTATAAATTCATAGAAAGTATAAAATTTACCCCAAATAACTCAAAGTGGACTCTGGAAAAAACAGAATCTTAGTTCTACAATTATTAAATAAATTGAACCACTCATTAAAAAAAAAAAATCTTCCCATATAAAGTTCATGCCCAGGTGGCTTTCAGGCAGTTCTGCCAAATATTCAAGGAAAAAAATACTTCCAGTTTTACAGAACTTTTCTAGAAACAGTCAAGAAGGAACATCTGTAACTTAGCTTATAAGCTACCATAACTTTAATAGAAAATCCCAACAAGGCTGGTCTTGAACTCCTGGCTCAAGCAATCTTCCCACCTCGGCCTCCCAAAGTGGTAGAGTTACAGGCATGAGCCACTACAGTTGGCCAGAATGGAACTTTCTTAACATGAAAAAGGGTATTTACAAAAACACCTCCAGCAAACCCTGCGCTTACTAATGAAACTCTGAAAGTACTGCCTTTGAAATAAGAAATATACCAAGGAGCTCACTATGACCACTTTCATCAACACTGTACAACAAATCCTAACAAGCACAGAAGGACAAGAAAAATAAAGATCTAAAAATTGAAAAGAAACAAAATTCTCAGTATTCATAGAGATTTACGTGTATAACAGGAAAAATGTAAAATAAATGAGAAATATATTACTAGAATTAACAGTTTTGGGCTAGATTTCTGAACACAAAAATTAACATGCAAAATTCAATGATTACTGAAAACCAGCAACAGGCAATAGAAATGAAAGACAGATACAATAACATAAAAAAATGCAAAGTACTTATTAAGAATCTAAAAAACAATACTTGTGAGTCCACTGTGTCAAAAATGATAAAACTTAATTGAAGAACAATAAAAACCTAAATAGAGAGGTATGTCATGTTCCAGGATTGGAAGATGGCATATCATAAAGATGCCAGTTCTCCCCAAAGTGATCTTATAGATTCGGTAAGATTCCAATCAAATTCATAACAGTTTTTGTGAAACTTAAAAAGCTTATTCTAAAATTCATATGAAAGTACAAATGCTATGAAAAACCATGACAATCTTTTTTTTTTAAACCTAAGGCAGATTTATTAAAGGAAAGATACATTGTGAAGGGTACAATAAATTGAACCACTCATTAAAAAAAAGAAATCTTCCCATATAAAGTTCATGTCCATATAAAATTCATGCAAGGACAACAGCAAGAATGCTCTCTGCTGCTCCATGACAATCTTTAAGAACAAGGCAAGTGGACAAGGTGTCCTGGATATCAACTTGTATGAAGTTATAGTAATGGTAATGCAATGATAGACAAAATAACGGAACAGAAGAGAGCCCAGGGTCAGACTCATGCATGCAGGGACATCTGGCAGATGACAGAGTGGTTTTGCAGATCAGTAAGTCAAGCATGGATGTAGTGCTGGAAAAAAGTGAAAAGCAATCCTTACCTCACATCATACACATTCCACTTCACTTAAAGACCTAACTGAGAAATGCAAAGTTATGTAGGAGATCCGGAGAATATACAAAAATATCTTTAAGAAATCCTTTCCTATTATGAGATCATAAATCAGTAATAAAAAGTAGAAATCTACACCAAAAAAACATATACAGTTGGAAAATAAGCATATGAGAATATGCTCCACATCATATGGCATCAGGTAAATGCATTTTAAAATGAGATACTATTAGAAATGCCAAATTCGAGAATATACCACCAAATGCTGGCAAGGATGTGGAACAGGAACTCTCATTCACTGCTGGTAGGAATGCAAAATGGCACAGCCACTACATACACATATCCATCCTATCTATCTATCTATCTATCTATCTATCTATCTATCTATCTATCTATCTATCAATCATCCATCCATCTATCATCTATCAGAGAGTCTCACTGTCACCCCCAGACTGGAGTGCAGTGGTGCCATCCTGGCTCACTGCAGCCTTGACCTCCTGGACTCAAGGGATTCTCCTGCCTCAGCCTCCTGAGTATCTGGGACTACAGATGCATGCCACCACACACAGATAACTTATGTATTTTTTGTAGAGATGAAGTCTCACTGTTGCCCAGACTGGTCTCAAACTCCCAGGCTCAAGCAATTCTCCTACCTTGGCCTCCCAAAGTGCTGGGATTACAGGCATGAGCCACTGCACTTGGCTTGTACAGCCAGTTTAGAAGACCATTTAGTGATTTCTTAGAAAACTAACATATTCTTATCATACAATCTAGTAATTGTGTTCCTTGTTATTTGACCAAAGGAGCTGAAAACTTATGTCCATACAAAACACCTGCACATCGATAATTATAGCAATTTTATTGGTAATTGTCAAAACTTGGAAGTAATCAAGATGCCTTTCGATAGGTGAATGGGTACATTGTAATACATCCAGACAATGGAATATTATTCACCGCTAAAATGAAATGAGCCATCAAGTCATAAAAAAATGGAAGAAACTTAAATGCTTATCACTAAGTGAAAGAGGTCAATCTGAAACGGCTATGTACTATGTGATTTTAACTACATAACATTCTGGAAAAGGTAAAACTACAGAGACATTCAAAACATCAGTGGTTGCCAGGAGCTAGGGAATAGAGATAAAAATCAGAATACAGGGCATTTTTAGGGTAGTGAAACTATTCTGTATGATAATGTAACAGTAGCTAAATGTCCTTTCACATTTATATAAACCCATAGAATGTATGTCACCAAGAGTGAAATCTAACGTAAACTATGGAGTTTAGGCAATAATGATGTGTTTGATTATAACAAATATACCACTGTGGTGCAGAACATTGATGAAAAAACTGTGCATGTGTGTGGGCAGGGGGTATAGGAAACTCTGTACCCTCTGCTCAATTTTGCTGTGAACCTAAAACTGCTCTAAAAAATAAATTCTATTGAAAAAAGTAAAATAAAAAAGATTAGTCACATTAATCTTTATTCATCAAAAGTACCATCAAGAATGGGAAAAGACAAGCCACACCCTGGGAGAAAATATCTGCAAACACTTAACTCAAAAGAATTGGTATCCAGAATATGTGAAGAATTCCTATGAACTGGTAAAAATGGGCAAAAAGACCAGAAATGTAAATTATAATAGCTATGATTCATGCCTAATGCCCACTAAATTGGCAAGAATTAATAAGTCCCCCAAAATTAAATATTGCCAAGGATGCGAATGAGCTCTCACCCAGTGCTGGAAGGTGGTCCACTTTAAAAAGTTAAACATGCACACAATCTATGGCTCATCATTTTTACTCCTAGAGAAATTCTAGCACACTTATAAGAGACATGTATAATGGTGATAACACTGCGTGTATAGCAAAAGCAAAAAACAAAAACTATAAACAACCCAAATATGTATCAACAATAGAATTAATAAGTATGGCAGTATATTCATACTGAAGGGGTTTATTAAAGCATACTATTCTGGCATTTGACTATTTAAGTTAAAGATACTTGAAAAGTCAGGCATGGTGACTTATGCCTGTAATCCCAACACTTTGGGAGGTAAAGGCAACAGGATTGCCTGAGGCCAGGGGTTCGAGGCCAGCCTGGGCAACCTGGTGAGACCTCAGCTCTACAATAAATCAAAAAATTAGCCGGGCATGGTGGTGCACACCTGTGGTTCCAGCTTCTAGGAAGGCTGGAGGTAGAAGGATCACCTGAGTCCAACAGGTTGAGGCTGTGATGGCTGTGAGCGTGAGACTCCTACTAAGAAAAAAAAAGGACACTTGAAAAACATCAGGTTAAAAAGACATTTTGACCTTTGTGCTGTTCTTAAGGGCAGAAGATGGAGTCCCATGTGAAAGACACTCTCCTTGTACTACAAGGAAAGGCAACAAACATCATTATCTTCAATTATGAGAAGTTTGAGACCAAGAGAATATCATACAAACCTTGGTAGAATAACTCTTATTTTTTTAAAGCCAGTTCACATAATTTAATCACATTTTCAGTTTATTATTCTTTGTCTAATTCAGTATAAAAGTAACTGACTCTAACTGCTTATTTGGGTTTTCATTTCTTTATGAGGGTTCATGTGCAATTAAAGCTTGTATTAAATAAATTTGTATGCTTTTCTCCTGTTAATCTATCCTAAGTCAAATTAATTCTCAGACCCAGCCAGGATGCTAAGAGGATGAAGTTCTTCCACCCCTACAGAACAATGAATAATTTTGAGATTAACATGCCTGAACCTCAAAAACACCACTGAATGAAACAAAGAGAATAATAAGATTAATAATGTATATAAATTCTAAAACAGGCAAAGCTAAACAGTATATTGGGCAGAGACACATATACAATTGGAAAAAATATTAAGAAAAAAGTGGAAAATTATCACAAAATCAGATAGTGACTATTATAGAAAGGGTGAGGGTATGTTATTGGGTCTAGGCATACAGGGGGCCGTCACTGGTAACACCCCTTATTTTAATCTGGGCAGCTAGTGCACCGATGTTTGCTTTATTATTCTTTAAAGTTAACAATTACATGTTATATACTTTCCTGTATTTATATTTTACAATAAAAATGTATTACATTTTCATTTGACTTTTGGTAATAAAATACTTTATTGGTACCATTTAATGTCAAAAACATACTAATGTTTCCATTGCTTAGCTTCCATCTTTAAATAAAAGATAGTTTAAAAAAACAGGAGCAAAAGTAAAATCATTTGATTCTCTCAAAAAACAAGATGCAACTTATCTTTACAAATAAGTTCTCTCACTTTAAATACCATAATTCAGTGGTTTTATAATAAATAATTGATATAAAAGGAGATATGGCCTGAATTATTTTGCAGAGAACATTTTTAAAATCCCTAAACATTATCCCAACTTAAAGTTTGTAAGAATAGTTAAGTGTTATTGTAAAACAGATTTCACATAGCACCTCGAAATTTGTAATTTGTAATATTTCAGATAATATGATTTATTGAGAAAAAAGATTAACAATTATTCTTCTGTGACTTTTCAGGGGCTTATGTACAAATATAATTAAATAAAGGTCCCTTTTAAGAGCCAAGAGCTAAAAAAATTTATGCATGCCTTTTACCTTATCTCCAATTTCTGGATCTAGAAATTGACTTGATGGCAAAAGATTCATGTGTGATAAATAATATAATACAGTCTTATCTGAATATAATTTCTTATTTACTTTGTCTCATTAATATAATTTATACCTCAATTAAAACAGTCTATATTCAAGTAATATACGTCTCTATAAAATATTATGTAATTCAGATTTCTATTGAGACTATCTTTCCCTCCCTCTTCCCTTTTTCTTCAATCAGAGTGATCTTATGGTATATCTCATTAAATTGTTTGCTTTTTCTCCCCACAGTGTACTCTCTTTCAACTCAAAGTATTACAATAATGCAAATACAGATGTAGCATATATTAACGTATTAGAAAAAAAGGATAATAAATACATATGGATCCATGTTAAATGAGAAAATACAAAGCAACAAACAAAACTATGCTATGCTCATGTATTCTGAGCCACCACAGGCAGGCCCTAATGTAGTTGGCTCACATAAACTGATGTTCTCAGACACAGCTAGGATCTATCTTGTACTTCAACATAATTAAATGTTCTGTTAAAAATGTTCCCATGTTTTTCCTGTTTATTCAAAACAGTCTACGGCAATTTTGACTACTAATCCTGAACAAGATGATAATATAATAGCATATTACATTTTTAATTAAGACATAGATTCTTGATTTTCTATTATTATGGCATTTGTTTAAAAACAGACATACAGTGGGCAAAGCAACATTAAGTTAAAGGGTTTTGATTTGTGCCTTCTCTTGAGTGGGGATTTCAGATATATCACTTAATTATCCTCTGCTTCAGTGAAAGAGAATTCTTCAAGCTATCAACCAAAGCTGTTCATTTAAAAATCAAGCAGGCTAACTTAGTAGTCAGCAGGTAGAAATACCTGCCCACACACTATATATCCATAACACTCCATCTCTTCTGTTGGAATGTGCTGCTCCCCAAGCACCATCACCAGCCTAGGACATTCCATCCCTCCACCCAGATGCAGTCAGAACACCATGAAATCCCACATGCACTCAGAACACGGGCACCAGGTAGAAACTAACTCAAAACAGCTTTTGGGACACACAACAGATTTCAATTTGTCCATTATTCCATAATGCAGTGTTCTCACAAAACAGGCTTTGTGTTGAAACACTTTTTCCTTCTCATATCAAGTTGAATTGCTAAAGTTATGTTAGAAAGAACATGATAAATAAATACGTCTTCGCTGAAAGAGGCACTGCATTTGGAATTAGAATTAAGGCTAAATAAATAGTGCTGGTTTGTGGTTCAGATTTTAACACATTAATGACTACGTTAACCAACAGCTTCACTGTTTGTCCTGTATGCCTGTTTATGAAGATGCGTCTCTATTTCCTCCCTGAAGACCAGCATTCCTAGGTGGGAGTGAGAGGCCTCATTCATGGCTTTGGACTGGATGCACATGCGGTACTGCTCAGGGGTCAGCTCATCAGCACAGCGCTTTTCATGCCAGAGGTGAAAAAGACCAGGAACTGGAGTCCGAATCACAATAAGTTCACCATGTAAGTATTTTCGATATAAATGAACATCTTCTCCACCCCAACCTTTTACTTCCATGTCAAATCCACCTGCAAGGTTAAAGTTAACACTATAAGTAACTGCCTAATAGCCAGAGCACAAGCAAACGTCATAAAGATTTAAAAATTCTGTTTCAAATGAGATGGCATGGTACAACACAAAGACACCTGACAGAATAGTGACATCCTAGCTTGGTAGTTCAGTTATGAGCTGACATTTAGATTGTAGGAGCTTAAGATCAGTTGTTGAGGGCATCAAAATGAGGTTAAATATTTAAGAACACTTTGTAAGCTTAAGAGTTCTACAAAAAAATCTATAGAAATCTTCTCCTCAAATAAAGGAAAAGAAAATAGAAGAAAAATAGGTTGGTGCAAATGTAATTGTGGTTTTGCATTGTTGATATTTGCCATTTGATATTGGAATATATTCTTAAATAAATGTGGTTATGTTACACATCATTTTAATGTTCATTTCTCACTTTATGTTTTTTGCTAATGACTTATTATTTGCTGTTTATTTTATATTTATTTTAGACTATGGAAATGATGTTAGACAAAAAGCAAGTTCGAGCGATTTTCTTATTTGGGTTCAAAATACGTCATAAAGCAGCAGAGATAACTCACAATATCAACAACGCATTTGGCTCAGGAACTGCTAATGAACGTACAGTGCAGTGGTGGTTTGCAAAGAAGATGAGAGCCTTGAAGATGAGGAGCATAGTTGCCAGCCACTGGAAGTCGACAACGACCAATTGAGAGCAATCATTAAAGCTGATCCTCTTACAACTACACTAGAAGTTGCCGAAGAACTCAACACCGACCATTCTACAGTCATTCGGCATTTGAAGCAAACTGGAAAGGTGAAAAAGCTCAGTAAGTGGGTGCCTCATGAGTTGACTGTAAATAAAAAAAAAATCGTTTCGAAATGTTGTCTTCTCTTATTCTATGCAACAACAATAAACCATTTCTCGATCAGATTGTGATATGTGACAAAAAGTGGATTGTATACAACTGGCAATGATCAGCTCAGTGGTTGGACTGAGAAGTTCCAAAGCACTTCCCAAAGCCAAACTTGTACCAAAAAAATAAAGGTCATGGTCACTGTTTGGTGGTCTGCTGCCAGTCTGATCCACTACAGCTTTCTGAATTCCAGCAAAACCATTACATCTGAGAAGTATGCTCAGCAAATGAATGAAATGCACTGAAAACTACAACACCTGCTGCCAGCATTGGTCAACAGAAAGGGCCCAATTCTTCTCCATGATAATGCCCGACTGCACGTTGCACAACCAACTCTTCATAAGTTGAACAAATTGGGCTACAAAGTTTTGCCTTATCCGCCATATTCATCTGACCTCTTGCCAACTGACTATCACTTCTTCAAATATCTTAACAACTTCTGCAGGAAAAATGCTTCCACAACCAGCAGGCTGCAGAAAATGCTTTTCAAGAGTTCATTGAATCCCAAAGCACAGATTTTTTATGCTATAGGAATAAACAAACTTATTTTTCATTGGCAAAAATATGTTGATTGTAATAGTTTCTATTTTGATTAATAAAGATGTGTTTGAGCCTAGTTATAATGATTTAAAATTCAGAGTCTGAAACCACAATTACTTTTGCACCAACTTAATAAGTCTTTAATTTCACCACTATTAATATTTTATAATTTTTTTTCCTATCATTTTTAGGCACAAATTTTTCTGGGTTACAGAAAACTTTCCAGTGGAGAAAACAGAAGAAAGGGCCAAGCTGGAGCTATAAGTTTGAGAATGGGCACGCAGATGATTTAAAACCACAGGAACGAATGAAACTACTGAAGGAGTTTGGAAGGAAAACAGAGGCTAGGTCTAAACACCAAGAAATGTCCATTTCTAGAAGTTAAAGAGAGGCAGGGGAAGATCAAATCAGCAAAAGAGACTGAGAAGTGACCCAGATGAGGGAGAGAATTCTGGAGAAGGTGCCATTGCATAGTCAAGGGAAGAAAATACCTTGAGGAGGAAGTTGTCAAGTGTGTGCTACACAATTAAGAACTTAAAAAGAACTAATTGGACCTGGTAGCAAAAATGTTACTTTTAACCTTACCTAGAACACTTCTGATGGCATGATGGGGCAGGAGGCTAACTATAGTGAGCTGACATATGAAATGGAAGGTAAAATTGAAACTATTTTCAAACTTTTTAAAGAAGCATGGAGAACACAAACCATTCAGGTTTTTTTTTGAAGAACTAGACAGATTCTGAAAAACTGGTATAAAAAAAGTAATTAAGAGCTAGTCTTCCAAATTATGTCTCTTGTCAAATAATACTATTTCATTTAATTTCACATTCACAGGATGGACAATAATTCCGAGATCTCTGAGAAGTATTACTCTAAACAATCAGAGCTTTACTAAATGCTATGTCAAACACATCTTCCTTATAGATACAAATAAGCTGTTCAAATATCAGAGATGGTGTAGACACTAAAAATAAATGAGGAGACTCTTGGTTTCTGGTCTGACATATAAGGAACTTAGAAGTCGTCATTCCATCGTAAGAAGTAAGAGCTGAACAAACTGAAAAATCAACAACTCCTTTTAGATCTCTCTGACAAGTGAGGTCACAGGGCAAACTACTGCCCTCAAAATTGGGAGAGACAGGCAGGCAGATACAAAGAATTACAGCTTATTAGAGCAGAATTCTCTGTTGGAAGCAGTATGGAGATAGGAAAACCTGAAGTGTAATTGAAAAACTGCTGGAGGCTTAGTGTGGGCAAGTCTGAGAGTTAAAAACTCCAGGGCAATCCATTCATATTGGGACCCCTCCACACTCTTTTGAATCTTACCTCTAGGAATTCTATTAGATTCTCATAGTGAAGATCAGAGAAAAATCCCCTAATGCTTCCAGCAGAGGGGAGGAAGAAAAAGATAATCAACTTGAAATAAGCCACAGCATTCTGTTCTTATTAACAGGAAGAATCTATACAACCAGGGCTGAACCTGCTGGGGTTTTATCAATGCCTAACTGATTTGGAGGAAGGAAAATATCCTTCCTCTGTCCCCTCCCTCTGTCCAGGAGGGGAGGAGAGATTGAGAAGCATGTGTGACGTTCACAGACCAGGGGCACAAGATCACTAAAATATTGAGACCTGGTCATAGAGAACTAAAGAACACGTCCCCTCCCTCCACACCTCACTACCGTATCACTAAAGGCCTATTTACTGCGGTTCCTTTTACTCAGTATATCAAATCCAGCTTTCTACAACAACAAAATGACAAAGTCTAACTAAAAGGTAAGAAAACATAGTTTGAAGAGATAGAGCAAGTACCAGACCCAGATTCAGATACTGCAGGGATGTTGGAAGTATCAGGCTGGGAATTTAAAATAATTGTTTTTTTTTTGAGTCAGAGTCTCACTCTGTTGCCCAGGCTGGAATGCAGTGGCATGCTCATGGCCACCACAGCCTCGACCTGTGGGGCTCAGACAATCCTTCTGCCTCAGCCTTTCAAGTGGCTGGAACTACAGGCACGAGTCACCACATCCAGCTAATTTTTTAATTTATTGTAGAGATGAGGTCTTCCCAAGTTGCCCAGGCTGGTCTCGAACCCCTGGACTCCTCTTGCCTCTGCCTCCCAAAGTGCTGGGATTACAGGCATGAGCCACCATGCCCAGCCAATAACTATGATTAATATGCTAAGGGCTCTAATGGAAAAGGTAGACAACATAAAAGATGGGTAATGTAAGCAGGGAGATGGAAATTCTAAGAAGGAATCAAAAAGAAATGTTAAAGGTAAAAAGTATCGTAAAATAAATGAATGCCTTTGTGGACTCATTAGTAAACTGTCCTTGGCTGAAGAAAGAATATCTGAGCTTGAGGCTATGACAATAGAAACTTTTCCAAAATTGAAAAGAAAGAGAAAAAAGACTGAAAACAACAACAACAAAAGGAACAGAATATCCAAGAACTGTGGGACAACTACAAAAGGTGGAACACATGTGTAATGGGAATACTAACAGGAGAAGAAACAGAAAGGAACAAAAACTCCAAATGAAGGTGTCTAAATTCCAAGCAGGTGCAGCTCCCTTTCTCCATCAGCCATACTCATAGGGTGGAGGCTCTGCTCTAGGTGCAGCAGACTGAGAATACTGGGGCAATACTGTCCCTACCCAAAGCCCTGCTCATAAAGCAGAAGTGCCACTCTGCTTTATGAAAAACGTGCCATTGTTCCCATCCTCAGCTCCAGAGCAGAGGCTCGGAGATTTTCCGGGGAAGAGGCAGACCGTAAGAACAAACTGCTCCAAAGTTCTGCCCAAAGGAACTGCCTTTATTTAAAGCAGAGTGTGGAGAAGTTCAGAGTGTAGAGAGGCTCAAGTCTCTTTGAAAAAAAAAAAGAAAATTTAGGTAGTAAGCATTAAGAGGAGGCTGGTAGCTCCATGAGGGCAACAAGCTAAACTGTAGGCCAGCTAGCTTTCCAGAAAGAACCAGGGAAAACGACATCAAAGAAGATCCCTATTGGGGTCTTAAAAAAAAAACAAGAACCCTCAAAGACTTGCCTCAAAAACTACCCCTTGCAAAAAGACCCATTTTAATTGGGTTAGACTGTGGAGCAATTTATGCTCCAGAGTACTGTCAAAAACAAGAGATCAATTAGTGAGCAATCAGTAGAGCCTAAGAGTTGGGAGTGGTACTAACAGAGGCATCGAAAGAGACGAAGAGCCCTGCTAAATCCAATGCCATGCCAGGATGACTGCACATGCCCTGAGGAGCAACATCAGAGGCTTCATATTGCCAGGGGGTGGGGGTAGAAGCAGGGAAAGAAAGAATTATTACTAAAATAATTCAGCCAAGTCAATAAATAAACAAACAACAAAAACAACAAAACAAAGCCCTGGAGTTAGAGAGCAATCAGTATCCAGAGTTGCCACAATATATTACCTAAAACATTTAGTTTTAAAAAAAGAAATTAGAAGGCATGCAAAGAAACAAGAAAGTGTGACTTATACACCAGAAAAAAAGCATGCAACAGAAATTGCCCGTGTAGGGCTCAGATATCAGCTTTAACAGACAAAAATTCCAAAGCAAGAATTATAAATATGTTCAAAGAACTAAGAGGAATCATGCTTAAATAAGTCACAGAAGGTAAGATGACAATGTTCATCAAACAGAAAATATAATGAAAAGAGAGAAATTATATATATGTATAAAAAAGACTCCAAATGGAAATTCTAGAGTTACAAAGAATAATAACTGAAATTAAAAATTCATTAGAGCAGCTCAACAGTAGGCATGAATTAACAAAATAAAGAATCGGATAACTTGAAGATGTATCATTAGAGATTATGCGATCCAGAGAATAAAGAAAAAAAAGAATTAAAAAAATTGAAGATAGCTTCAGAGAAATGTGGGATAACAATAAATGCACGAACATACATAAATGAGAGCACCAGGAGAAAACAATGAGAAAAAACAAAAAAAAATTCAAAGAAATACAGTTGGTCCTCTGAATTGTGGTTCTACATCCACAGATTCAACCAACTGCGGATCAAAAATCTTTGAAAAAGACACCAATAAAAATAACAATACATAATAAAAATAATACAAACAAAATACAGTATAGCAGCTATTTACATAGTATTTACATTGTGTTAGGTATAATACGTAATCTGGGAATAGTGTGAAGTATATGGGAGGATATGCATAGGTTAAATGCAAGGACCATGCCATTTTGTAAAAGGGACTTGATTCAACAAGGGTACCTGCATAATGACCATTTGTATACCTGACCCTGAATTGTACCCCACATTAAAAAAAAAAAAGGGATCTGATTGTCCATGGATTTTGGTACAGGTCCTGGATCCAATCCCATGTGGATATGAAGGAATGAATGACTGTAATGGTTGAAACTTCTCAATGTGATGAAAACATTAATGTACATATCTAAGAGGCCAGATAATTCCAATAACCCAATTAAAATTGGCAAAGGATCTGAATAAACACTTCACTAAGGAAGATATACAACTGGCCAATAAGTACATGAAAAGATGCTCAACATCATTAGTCACCAGAAAAATTATATTCTAATCAAAACCACAATCAGATACCACTTCATACCCACTATAATGGCTATAAACAAAAAGGCATGTATTAATGAAGATGTGGAGAAACTGGAACCCTCATACACTGCTAATGGGAATGTAAAATGGTGTAGCCACTTTGGAAAATAGTGGCAATTCCTCAAAAGTTCAAACATAGGGTTACCATGTGACCCAGCAATTCTAGTCTTAGGTATATAGCCAAGAAAATTGAAAATCTATGTCCACACAAAAACTTATATACAAATGTTCATAGTAGTTGTATTCATTATAGTAAAAAAGTAGAAACAATCCAAATGTCTACAAATTGACAAACAGATAAACAAAATGTGGTATAACCACACAATGGAAGATTTTTCTGCTATAAAAAGGAATGAAGTACTTGATACATACTATGACATGGGTGATATTGTGAAAATGTTATGCTGAGTGAAAAGAGCTAGCTATAAAAGACCATAATATTATATAATTCGCTTTATACTAAATGCCCAGAAAAGGCAAATCTATAGAAAGTAGATTAGTGAATTCCTAGGTTTGGGGGAAAAGAAGGTTGGTAGGAAACGGGGAATATGAAAATGCAGGTACCATGCCATTTTATGCTAATGGGTATGGGGTTTCTTTTTTGGGTGATGATAATGTTCTAAATTTGATTGTGATGACTGCTACACAACTTGGTGAATTATACATTTTAAATTGGTAAATTTTATGATATATGAATTAGACCTCAACAAAGTTGTTATGTAAAAAAGACAAAAGGGACTACAGGCATTCAACATACTAAAAAAAAATACAAAAATCTAATATTGAAGGATAGTGGATGTTTACTGTTTTTATTAAGCAAGAAATCAGGGAAAAGAGCATTAGTTTCAATCATTGATCTTTTTATTATTTCCTAATTTTCCATTATTCAAGTGCTACAATGATAAAGATACAAGGTGGGAAGATTTCCAAAGCAAATGGCTGGTAATAAAATTGAATGTAATATGGACCTAGAATATACATAAAATATATTCCATGACTTCTATGCTGTGGAAAGGTAGCCAGCACTAAATGAATCAGGAGACATGGAACTAGCTTTCAGCCTGCTGTTATTAAACTATTCTCTGATATTTTATTTTTTGCTGGGTAAGACTGAACTGATTAAACTGACTGAAGGATGATTAAATACATTCTTCATGGGGTATCTTTGGGCTTAGAGGAATGGACAATTAAGGTGTGACTCCCAGTCCCCAACTCTAACTTCAATCAGAGATAGAAAGAACAGTTTTTTTTTTTTCATTTGTTTCAAATACTGGGATTTTGCATGACAGTTCAATAGAAAATTAAAGGAGGCTTTAAAAAAAAGACATGAAAGCCCTTAGTCTAAATATCTAAAATTATGACCCATAAGCACAACAATAAAGTTATAGAGAGAACTTTTTTTTTTGAGTAGGAGTCTCACTCTGTTACCCACGCTGGAGTGCAATGGCACGCTCATGGCCACCACAGGGCTCAGGCAATTCTTCTACCTCAGGCTTCCTAGTAGCTGGAACCATAGGCGTGTGCTAATTTTTAAATTTATTGTAGAGAGAAGGTCTCACCAAGTTGCCCAGGCTGGTCTTGAACCTCTGGGCTCAGGTAATCCTCTTGCCTCTGCCTCCCAAAGTGCTGGGATTACAGGCATGAGCCCCTGCACCCAGCCAAGGCCCTATTTTTTTTTTTTTGAAAGAAGGATTTAATAAGAGCACAGAGAAGCTCCCACAGTGGAGGAGACCCGAGGGGGTAGCCCCAAAGTCCTATTCTTAAATGTAAGGTATACTTACCAATGGTCAGGAAATCTGATCGATATTGACAAGTCATTCCAAAGCCAAAATCTCGCCAAAAGCCAGAATCCTTTTTGTGAACCTTAAGTTAAAAAAAAAAATCAATTTAATTTTCCAAGAAATAGAAGTAGTTTTAATCAAATGAAAAACAAATTAAAATATTTTCTAAAGGATAAATTTCCTGTCATTTATGTGACTGGTAAAGGATCATATGATAAAGGATCACATTATTTAAATATTTACAAAACAAAAATATAGAAATCCACATGAGCAAAGGCTTATTCCCACCTTCAGTTTAACTGAACTCAAGCCCTGTACCAAGGTACAACCTGAGGTTACTAATGATTAGTGTGGTGACTCACTTCAGGGGCTTACATTTTAGGAGGACAACAATTGCACAAATAACTATAACACACCTAACCCTAACCCTAACTCTAACTCCACACAGTACACTTTACTTGGTGCATACCCAGCATACATTCATCTGGCCCCTTCCTGATTGAGACAGTTTTGTTCTGGTAATTACTTGGCCCCAGGCAGCCCACAAGCTTTGGAAGCTGCTATCACTAGTCACTTCAGAGTGGGCTGAGATTCTACACCAGTGACACAGTCTCATTACTATAGGAATTGGTTTACTAATAGGTAGTAGAAAAAAATCAAGCCAATAAACTAAACCCAGAGGGTTGGTGGGAATTTTGGAAAACAAAGCCAACTCCTTCTTCTGAGAGAGCCTCTAGAAAGGACATTTGCTTGGGGGTGGGGGGGAGATATCAACAAACTACAGCCTCAGGCTAAATCTGGCCTGCTGTCTGCCTTTGTAAATAATTTTATTAAACATAACCCACTCATTTGTTAAAAAATTGTCTATGGATGCTTTCACATTATAGCGGTGGAACTGAGTAGCTGCAACAGCACTGTATGGCATGCAAAGATTAAAATATTTCCCATGTGGCCCTTCACAGAAAACACTTGTTGACCCCAGGTGTAGGATGCAGATATGAAGCCTGGAATTGACAAAGTCCTTTTCCACAATGACTGAAGTCCAGGAAGAGAAATGATGATAAAACCAGAGCTTTGATGACACTAAGCTCCAAATTCATTTCTACTTAGAAGCTGAAGCCTAATAAATGTCTTTTATTTTATTTGTACTTTCAACAAGTGTTTTTAACCTGTAGGATATGATTCTAGTAACTGGGGCTTAGCAGTGATCAGAGGTGACAAAGTCCTTGCTATCAAAGAGCCTTTGTTTTTGTGGGAAGATAGCAAATAAATATACATTTCAGGTAGTGTAGCATGCTAGGAGGACAAGGGAAGAGCATGATAGAGAAAAGCCTGACTTAGATATAATAGCCACAGAAGGCTTCTCTGAGGAGGTAAAGTTTAGGCAGGGATCTAGATGAAGTAAGGGAATGAGCTACATAAATATCTGGAGGAGATCCCTCTAGACAAGGAGGGCAGCTGCACAAGGGCTCTGAGGACAAACAGTAAGGAAATAACTATGGCATGACAGGGGTTTTAGTATTTCTTAAAGATAAGTGGTATTACAGCATTCTTGTATACTTGTGGGAGGGATTTAAAAGTGGCCAAATGTAGGACAGGAAAGAGTGAAGAGTGGCCAGAAGTGGGTCCTTATTAAAGGTGAGGGCTGAGCTCTAGTTTTTTAGTTCATTATGAAAGGACTGGCTGGCATTATGAAGGGACATGGACGGTTCTTCCACTGGAAATGGAGAGAGGCTGAGGGAGTAGGGCTGACAGAGCCTGTGAGAGCAGAATAAGGAAGAGAACTTCTGACTGCTTCTCTTTCCAAAATGAAACAGGAAGCAAAATAAATGGACAATGAGAAGTGGTAAGGGATTGCTAGAAGAAGTGAGGAGAGGCAGAGTGGCCTGGAGGGCAGAGAGTGGGTGGGCTACATAAGGCACAGGTCTCCAGGGCAGCCCAGGAACGTCAGCCATGCTGGAGTGCAATGGCACGCTCATGGCCACCACAGGGCTCAGGCAATTCTTCTACCTCAGCCTTCCTAGTAGCTGGAACCATAGGCGTGTGCTAATTTTTAAATTTATTGTAGAGAGAAGGTCTCACCAAATTGCCCAGGCTGGTCTTGAACCCCTGGGCTCAGGTAATCCTCTTGCCTCTGCCTCCCAAAGTGCTGGGATTACAGGCATGAGCCCCTGCACCCAGCCAAGGCCCTATTTTTTTTTTTTTGAAAGAAGGATTTAATAAGAGCACAGAGAAGCTCCCACAGTGGGAGGGGACCCGAGGGGGTAGCCCCAAAGGCCTATTCTTAAATGTAAGCGTCCTCCCACCCACCAGGTGTTTCCTCCAGCATGAGGAAGGACAATCCCAATATTATTTCACTGTTCCTTATGCTTGGCTAATGTATCTCACATACAATACAACAATTCTAACATCAAAATATTCTAATAATTAATAACTTCTAAAACTTATACATACCCAACACCTAATGACTGACTTAAATCCTAATACCTTTCTATTCTGTGCTAATTTTACCTGTACTATAAAAAACTCTTAATTATAGCTCAAACCAGTTCCTAAAGAATGTGGCCCAGTCCAAAGATCACGCTGGGCCATTTCCAGGAACAATTGATTATAATTTCTTAATAAAATGGCTATTCTAAAATCCTATGTATCTATCTTAATTTCTATAAAAGTTTCTAATTCCTAATCCTAATATATAAAGCTGATCATTAGCAATAAAGCTTCTAAAATAAAACCCAAATACAAACTGTAATTGTACTAAAGCCAAAACTGCAATTAGTAGAAAGTGGGAACAATGAAATTTCTAAAGTTAGCTGTATTCTTATAAAACCTTAACGTATCATGTTTGAACTAACATAATTCCCTTACGTAGCATGACCTATTCTATAACACTTGCTATGAATAAAATAAATTCAGTTTCTATTATAAGTAGAAAAAACCTACACTAATCGTAGCTAAAGAACCAGTTTTTTTTTTTTTTGAGTTGGAGTCTCACTCTGTCGCCCATATTGGAGTGCAGTGGCCGCTCCCAGCCACCGCAGCCTCGACCTGCTGGGCTCCGGCGATCCTTCCGCCTCAGCCTTCCGAGTAGCCAGAATTACAGGCGCACGCTACCACACCCGGCTGATTTTTTGATTTATTGTAGAGATGACGTCTTGCTGCCCAGGTGGGTCTTGAACCCACAGGCTCAGGCAATCTACCCACCTCAGCCAAGAACCAGTTTAAAAGAATGCAGCCCAGCCCAAAGTGGATGCTGGACCCTTAGGAATGTTGCCTAGTCCAAAGTTCGTGCTGGGCCATTTCTGGTAACTCTAGATAATCATCTATACCATCTAAAGCTGGAAACAGCTCTCTAAATGTATGTACTAATTCTACAAATATACTTTTAAATCTTATAAAGAAGCTTGTATCGTATATAAGGCTCCCAAATGTGACCCGAGTTTGAGTTATGTTAAGTTTAAAGCTGAAACCGCAGTCTGTGAGAAACGGGAACAATGGATCCTTAGAGTCAGCCATGCCTGTCATACTCTCAGAACTTCATACTTAGATCATCAAAGTCCCTATTAGTGGTCATGCCAAACAAAAAAGAAGGGAGGAGGGAATGGGCCTTCAGCTCCTGAACCCAACCTGGTGGTCTCAGGGTCTGCAGCCCACCTGGATCCCTAACGCTCAGGCGGGCCTCCACGGCCAGCTCCCAACAGGTAGGAAGTGAGGATATGGACATGAAGAGGACAAGAGAAAGGAGAAAGTTTCTTCCAAACAACAAGCTGTTCTGAGACATCTTCCTCGAAGAAATGAAGCTGGAGTTGGGATCTGAAAAGGAAGAGTGAGCCAAGAGAAAGATGTGTTGTGGAGAGTTCAGGTAAAAGAAGTTTGTGCAAAGACCTGCAGATGGAGGGGAGAACATTGTGAGTGAAGGACAGTGAGACTAAAGACTAATCAGAGAGACAGGTGCCCACAGAGTAGGCCAGGGCTCTGCAAACTTTTCCTGTGAAAGGTCAGGTAGTAAGTATTTTAAGCTGTAAGGAACATATAGTCTCTGCCACAATTACTGAACTTTGCCACTGTAGTGTGAAAGCAATTATTAACAATAAATAATCAGCCTTTGCTTTACTAAACTCTGGTATGGCCATGTGCTCTTTGAGCTATGGCCATTGCCATGTTTTCTAAGCTTTGGTCCCCTCTCCTACCTTGGAGAAGTGAATCTCCTCTCTCTTCTCTCTAATTTACTTTCTTCCCCCACCCTCACTCCCAAACTGGAGTCTCACTCTGTCACCCAGGATGGAGTGCAGTGACATGCTCACAGCCACCGCAGTCTCAGCTTGCTGGGCTCAGTTGATTCTTCTACCTCAGCCTTCCAAGTAGCTGGAACTACAGGTATGTGCCATCACGCCTGGCTAATTTTTCTTAATTTATTGTAGAGATGAGGTCTCACCAAGTTGCCCAGGCTGGTCTCGAACCTGTGGGCTCAGGCAATCCTCTCACCTCAGCCTCCCAAAGTGCTGAGATTATAGGCATGAGCCACCACACCCAGCCTTTAATTTACTTTCTAAATAAACTATATTTTCTAATCTAAAAATAACAACAATATCAACTGAATATACTGTACTCCAATAAAGTTTGTTTATGGACATGAAATTTGAATTCCATATCATCTTCATGTAACATAAAATATTATTTAAAATATATATGTGTGTGTTTGGGACAAGGACATGCTATGTTGCCTAAGCTGGAGTGCAGTAGCTATCCACAGGCACGATCATGGAACACTACAGCCTTGAACTCTTCAGCTCAAGTGATACTCTTGTTTCAGTTTCCTGGGACTAAATGCGTGCCACCATGCCCGGTTAAAATATATGTTTTAATTATTCAAACTGTAAACAACATTTTTTTTTTTTTTGAGTCAGATTCTCACTCTGTTGCCCAGACTGGAGTGCAGTGGCTGCTCCTGGCCACCGCAGCCTCAACCTGCTGGGCTCCGGCGATCCTTCCGCCTTAGCCTTCCAAGTAGCTGGAACTACAGGCATGCGCTACCTGTAGCACCCGGCTAATTTTTTTGATTTATGTAGAGATGAGGGCTCG